GCTGTCATCGTTTAAATAGACCTATGCGCTCCTGGCTGAGAGATCGTTCTGCTTAAGCAAAAGGTGAGCGTGCACGGCTCAGGTGAGGAGAAGCTAAGAAAAGGGCCTCTGAGTGAGCACCACTGTCTATGAACACAAGGCCCTTCTCAAGATTTGCTTCCTTTCAGACGGAAGCCCGTTGGGTTGAAACAACTGACATGATGATTTTCCCAGCTGGGAGCCTTTTGAAAAGGAAAGCCCTGTTACACCGCTTCTTTCTGAACTAACAAGTATTCAAGGGGCTCACTGTGTTTTTATGACAACATTTTAGAGTTTTTATTGCAAAGGTTCACTGTAGCAATATTTGAAAATATAATTGGAAAAGGGAAGAAAATTCGGTATATTTGGATATATACTGCAGAGGTACAAATATTTTGATATAGATCTTTCCACATTAAAAGTTTTAAAATTACAAATATATTCTATATTTGCCACTTCGTACCATTAGGTATTATACCGTAATATTACACTACATTTTCCTTCCTGTAATACGTGACTATTTCCCATCATATTCAATAGTTTTCTAAAAATACAATATTAATAATGGTTTTGGGTACTGTCATAACTGATTTTACTGACAACATACTCAGTCTGCAGTGGGGAAGGGGCGGGAGGGCTCTGTAAGGGACCCCCAGTGAAGAGCAGCTATCCCACTCTCCCAGGTCCCATCCCACAGGGGTGGGGGAGGCGTGGTCTGAGTAACCCAAGGAGCCTGACTTTATCTGAATAAGACCACAGAGCAACCTGTGCCCCAGGGAGTTGTTAAAAACAATAGAGCAATCAGCTATCAGTGACTAACAGCTTGAGGCACTTCCAGTAGAGACCAAAAAGCCAGCAGTTTATTGGGGAGATCAGGTAAGAGACAGTCAAAGAAGACCTAAAATCACTATCATTTTGGTCTGGGTAGACTGTGTGCACAGCAAAGGCAATGTCTTCTCATGAACAACAGGAGAGGGAATCCCCCAGCTACCAGCCACTGGCTACACGGGACTGAACTGTGGAAGCAGTCTCCAAGCCACACAGAGATCCAACAGTCAAGGATGAAAAGCTTCCTTGCTCAGGGGTGTATCAAGTCATCTGGGGCTGCCATAAAAGAATAGCATACACTGGGTGGATTAACAACAGAAATTTATTTTCTCACAGTTCTACAGCCTGGAACCCTGTGACCTGGGTACCAGCATGGTTAGGCTGTGGCAAGGGCTCCCCTCCTAGCTCGCAGACAGCTGCCTTCATGCCGTGTCTTCGCCCAGCCTTTCCTCAGTGTGAGCGCAGGCTGAGAGAAAGGGAGAGACCTCTCTGCAGTCTCCTCTTACAAGGACACTAATCCCATCATGACGGCCCACCTTCACGACCTCATCTTACCCTAATAATCTCCTAAAGGCATCTCAAAATTCCATCACACTGGGAGTTAGGGCTTCAATATATGATTTTGGGGTCAGGGGAGGTGATGCAAACATTCAGCTCAAAACAGGGAACTTAAATATAATCCCTGGCCAATCAGGGGCTAACCATTAAGCTATGCTGACTCAGCACCTGGTCCTAGGAAGTCAAGGAAATCTGTAAACACAGAAAGTAAATGAGTGGTTTCCTAAGGCTGGGAGTGGGGAAGGAATGAGGAGTGACGGAAAAGAGTAGATCTCTTCATGGGGATGATGAAAATGTTCTAAATGTTCAAAAGTTGGATTATGGTGATAGTTGCACAACTTAATAAATATACTAACTATAACTAAAAGCTATTGAATTGATTATATGTAAAGGGTAACTCATAACATGTAAACTATAATTCAAAAAAAAGTTATTTCTACAAAAACCACGTGGAATAATTAGAGCCACAGATTTACTCATGAGTAACTATTCAATGAATCACCTATAGTATCTCTGGAGAGTGAGTAAGCTTTCAAAAAAAATTTGCCAAGACTTAGAACGACTTAATACGAGCCTCAGTATGGGCTTTAGCAATTAAATTTAGCAATGAAAAGTTTAACATTTTGAAAGTAAAATACTGAAATAAAAGAGTGGAAGCATCTCTGTGTAAAATTGTTGTAAAGGTCTTCAGTAACACCTATGAGCTCAGGTTTGAAGTTTGGTGGAGCCAAGTCCTAACACAGTAGAAATCTACCTTAGAATTCTTGGTGAGAGAATCATAAGGGCTATGAATGCAAAATCAAAGATATGAAAGAGAAATTAGTGGTGCCTACATGTAGCCATCACCTGGAAATTATCTACTAAAAACAGAAAATAATGTTTTAAAATTTACCTTGACAGTAACTTCTCTCAAAACGCTGTAATAGACTACAAAACTTACTGCAAAGATACAGTAATTGAGACTGTGTGATACTGGTATAAAGCTTAGCCTAGAGATCAACAGAACAGAATTGAGAGTCCAGGTACAAAAGTCAATTGCACATAAATGCATGAGTTAACAATGGTCCTAAGATAATCCAATGAGGAAAGAACAGCCTTTACAACACTGGGACCAGTGGTTAGCCACATGCAAAAGAACGAAGCTGGACCCATACTTCATGCTATATGTGAAAATTAACAGAACAAAGACCTAAATGTGAAAGCTAAAATTGTAAAGCTTTCCTAAGAAAACACAGGTAAAAATCTTGGAATAAGCAATGTTTTTGTAGATACTGTTGTCATACCCAAGTTCATGTGCCCAATGCACAGTGAGGCCAAACAAACCAAAATGTCGGAGTCTGCAGCAGAGACAGGATTATTAGTCCAGGTTGGCCTGGAAGACAGGAGACCCAGAAATCTCAAATCCATTTTTCTTCCCTTTTATAGGACCATAGCTAAAAATTTACCAACTTGGTAAAATACATCCTGGGGGACTACAAGACAGAAGAGAGCTCTGATCACCTATACCTAATTATTCACTGCCCATGTTGTCAAATATCAAGCAAACAAACAAACCAATGCAATGCAAAACCATCTCTCAGGGTCGCAGTTTCCCAGACCCCGAAAGGGAAATTCCCAACCAATGCCATATCAGAAATAAGGCCAAATGACCAAGTCTGAGTGCAAAAGGGAGAGCTCCAACCAGCGCACCACCAGAGACAAAGTCAGTGCCATAGAATACCCTGGTGTTGCCGCACGTGAGCTCCATTGCTTACCAGAAACATCTATCTCAACTAGCCATGCAAGTGCCTTGTCTCCTTTACCACAAAAATCAAAAGTGTCAGGACCAACGCCAGGTCTTTCGAGCACTAGCTGCCCATATTGCTTGGTGCCTGCAATAAACACTGCACTTTTCTTCACCACAACCTGGCGTCAGTAGATTGGCTTTACTGGGTGCAGCAGAGTGGATCCAAGTTTGGTTCATTAACAGTATCACATCAAAAGCACGAGCAACAGAAAAATAAAGAATAAAAAAAGATGAATTAAACCTTGTGGGGACCCTCTTATAGTATAAAGATTATTTTTAACTGAAAACATTTGAGCCAAAGAAGATGCAGAAAGAATTTTTTATCTAAACTTCCCTTATCTGACTAGAGTAGAGCCTCCAAAAAATACAGCTGCTGTTCACCTCTAAGGAATTTCCTATGAATTCAGCTGAGATGGGGACAGACTACATCATTCCATTAGCATCAAAAAGTCCAATAGAAACTTTCATACCTTCCCACTGCAGCCCTAAAGGCAAAACAAAAGCAAACAAACAAAACCTTTGTTTAGGTTTTGCATATAATACTTTAATCTCTGGCTATTGAAGGAGTTACTCTCTACTGAGGGCATAAATAAACCTTGATTTTTTTTTCCCCTTGCTAATCTGTCTACTGTTAGCTAACTGCACTGGACCACTGGGTCCAAGTTGGAAGAGGAAAAATTTCCCTCCCAACAACCTCAACCAAAACAAAAGCTTTCATGCTTCAAAGGACACTATCAAGAAAGTGAAAAGACAACCCACATAATAGGACAAAATATTTGCAAATCATGTATCTATAAGGGTCTAGTATTCAGAATATATAAAGAACTCTAACCAAAAAAAAAGAGCCCAATTAAAAATGGGCAAATTATTTTATATAAATGGCTGATAATCCACGTGAAAAAAATGCTTAACATCAGTAGTCATTAGGAAATGCATATCAAAACCACAGTGAGAAAAAATGATGCTGTTGAGGAGGAAAATGATTTCCTCTACCTTCTTAGGTTTGTCCTTGGGGTCCTGCAAATTAAACTGACAAGACAGACTAAAGAATATTTATCTACATACATATATAAATGCAGGAGTTCACAGAAAAATGTGACTCAAGGGGGTAGTTAGAATTGGGGGCTTGTATACCATCTCAACAGGTTAGGAAGAGGGTGAGAAGGGCACTTAAGAGAAAACAAATGATTTTTGGGGAAAATAAATGAGGCCATTGGAGAATAGGTGGGAGATACGTTGGTTTTGTGAAAAATGTTTGAGTGTGATACTGACTTCTCCTCTCAGAGAGGAGAAAATTAGACTTGCTCCCAAAAAGGGGATTTATGACACTGAGTTCTTTTGGGGGTCTCTGCTTTTTGGTGATAAGGGACTTCAGGAACTTAAACGCCTTCAAGTTCAAAATCATTTTTATGCCACAGTGGCTTATTCTGGATCCCGTCAATGCAAATTACTCAACAGTCACATAGCTGGTGAGGAAGAAAAACAAAACTAGAATCCACACCTTCTGGCTGTAGTTATGAACTGAACTGTCCCCTTAACTAAGCTGAAATTATCATCTTTTCTTATTTTTAAAGCCATTGAACAATTTCTCTCAAAGATATACAAACCTTGGTCTTGCATCTTATAAGGAAAAAAAAATCAGACATGAATGTAATGGCTCTTTGGGTCTTGAAATTGTTTGAGTGTTCAATATTTTACTGTGTGTAACCTGCCAGGCATTTATCTTATTATGGTCATCTTCTGCTTTCTTTTTTTCTTTTGGAAAAATATTTGAAGAACCAAAAAAGAGAGAGAGAGGAGAAATATGTACCTTTCCATCCACAGCAGCCTGGACCTCGGTGTTTGCCGGCAGCCCTCAACTGGATTGACAAGCCCAGCTGTCGATAGGCTGCAGGGAGACAGGAGAGAGAGAATGCAATTCATCAGGACACTGGGCAAATGGGCATGTCTTAACGTTACCATTTTCCTTATGGTTGTAATAACCCCCTGCATAGCACACCTGGAATAATTTAACTAAGTTTGACCGATCAGTTGAGAAATTATTTGGAAAATATGTACTCTGTCTTTCTCTGCTGGGAGCTAGCTGGTGGATTCACAGTGAGCCAGCCAGAGAATGCCGTCTAAGGCTGATGTTGTGCTGACATGTTACTGAAAGGGATTCACTTTCATCCAAATTGTGCCCTTCACTGCCTCTGACCACAGTAGCCCAGCTCCTGACTATGCAGCAGACACGAAGGTCACAAATTGGCCGCAAAGAGGTCTATGCTATTGTTTTCAATTGAATTAACTGCCATCATGTAAAATTCATGAGTTCCTATTAAAAAGCTTCAATCCTGGATTCTCTTGAAATATCAGTATGTTTGGTCCAACTGGGCTTCCATTTTCATAGGAGAGCACTTGGCTAGAGCTGGGTGGTAGCACTCACATCCAGACAGGAGGCATGCTCTCCAGGTTACTGTGGTTGACACTACAGTCTGACATCCCATTTCTTTCATTTATGTTATTTACTTGGGCCCTGTAAATATTTGAGTTTGCTACCTCTGCAGCAGAAAGTGAAAAAGCGCCGCTTGGAAAATTTCTCTTAGCCGTAAGATTACTGATGAAGCCCGTATTGTGAACAACCTCTGTCTTTGACAGTGTTGGACCTACTAGCTGTTCATCAAGATTGGATTGTGGGATGGTTCCTAACTTCATTTCTCTCTCTCTCTCTCTCTCTCTCTCTCTCTCTCTGTATGTTATATATATAACTTTTAATTGAAGTATAGATTTTAAAGGTTTCAGGTGTACAGGAGTGATTCAATTATACATATATCTATTTTTTCAGATTCTTTTCCATTATAGGTTATTACAAGATATTGGATATAGTTCCCTGTGCTGTACAGTAGATCTTTGTTGTTTATCTGTTTTGTATATAGTAGTGTTTCTCTGTTAATCCCAAATCCCTAATTTATCCCTCCCCCACCCCTTCCTCCTTTGGCAACCATAAGTTTGTTTTCTATATCTGTGAGTCTGTTTCATACATAGATTCATTTGTATTATTTTTTTAGATTTCACGTAAGTGGTATCATATGACATTTATATTTCTCTGCCTGACTTACTTCACTTAGTATAATAATCTCTAGGTCCATCCATGTTGCTGTAAATAGCATTATTTCATTCTTTCTTATGTCTGAGTTAAATATATACATATACATATATATGTATATATGTATTTGTGTATATGTATATATGTATATATGTATTTTTTACTTTTCTTCTTTTTGACACTGTGAGAAACTTCCTAAACTTCTAGTTTAGGAAGTCCACATCTGAAAGGGATGTTTCAAGTAATAATCAGTCATAAACTGATTCTTTATCTCAGTCTCACAAATGGAGAATGTTTCTTGCTGTCTCCAGCCATGTGTTAATGGTTTCTCTGAGGTCACCTGTACAGATAGATCTTTTGAATTTCACTTGGACCACATGTGGTTTTAAGCTAGATGTTAATTGGAAACATTTATAGTGTCAAACGTTTGATTAATGCTCTGGGTTTTAATTGAAAGGAATGAGTATTTCTTAAATCAACTCTTCACAGTAATATGTTTTTTTAAAAAAAGTTTCCTAGAATAGATTAAACATTTGAAAACTGAGTAATAGTTTTTAAAAAACAATCTGTACTGATTTGCCATTATCCATTTTAAATAAATATTCTGGGGACAATTATAAGCCAATTGATAATCAGAAAACAACAAGTGCCAATCAACACAATACTACATTTGGCTGATGGCCATAACAATTTAGAAATGGGCTGAAGGTGATTTCACTGTACTGCTGAGTCTTTGGTATAATACAAACATTCTACATGCTTCATCCCTTGGACAGCATGGTCTGAGAGAGGGAAACCCACAGCCTCCACAGCGAGACTTCCTCTGTGTGTCTGGGACCCTCTGAACTAAAACAATTAGGATGTGGTTTGGGGACTAAGCAGAGGGTAATATTCTCCAGGTGTGAGAAGTCCAAAGTGGGACTCAGTTGAGTTCAGAAGAAGGTACATTTTGACTTTAATTTTTGTTCGTAAAGAACCCAAATTGGGTCTCCAGATGGTGCCCTGTAGACATAATTAAGCATGGCAATAAATCACATGCCAGTGACACGGCAATTATTCTTGGGCCTCCACCCCTCCCCGTCAGGTGCTGGGAGAGGCTCGCCCAGGCGCCCTTCAGGTGATCTGAAACAGCGCTGTGCCCTCTGCCGGGGCCTGAAAGGGGAGGCCGCCGTCCACTTGTTACCATCAGCCAGGACTGATAATAGGTGCAAGATGTAGTCTTGTGCTGCGATATCAGCCCACGCTGCTGCCCTGCACTTTGTATAGTAAAAGATACTCTAAGTGGAAAGAAAGAAAAAGTGCTACAAGGCCATGTCCACATAACTGCCACAGCTTGAGATGGAAAAACTTAAATATGCCCATTAGGTCTTTGATTTCCACATCACCTGACAACATGCTCTACGCTTTCCCCACCTCATGGAATTCACTATCTGATTGTTTTGGAAGCATCCTTCATCCCTTTGTTCATTCAGTGTATAAGTATTTCAGCGTCCTTCAAACCTGAGTAATGTATAGACTCCTTAAAACTCCCAAGAATATGTCCACAGACAGACCCAAGGACACATGGACACACTTGTGAAACACTGACTCAAGAACTTAAAATCTTATGCTGGGAAGATATCTTATAATGCAGAACAATCATTCCAAAATAGAAATAAATATCATTTTAAAATGGGTAAAAATACCTTCTAAACCATAATCCTTTAAAAAGAGAAAAGATCATAGCAGATCATTTACGTTCTTATGAAGCCTGTGCATGGTTCTGCACTTGGGTAACCTTAGTGGGATTGCATGGTTCCCCACACCACCGTGGGCTATAGAAACAGAACCGAAAGATTCTGGAAGCCTTGGAAAGGACACTTTTCAGTTACAGGGTCTACTCTGTCCAGTGTTAACTAGGACCATGTATTAGTTTTCTGTGGCTGCTTTAACAAATGACCACAAGCTTCGTGGCTTAAAAAAACACAAATTTATTATTTCACTTGGGGGGGAGGTAATTAGGTTTATTATTTTTAGAGGAGGTACTGGGGATTGAACCCAGGACCGAGTGCATGCTAAAGCATGCACTCTACCACTTGAGCTGTACCCTCCCCCACCACAAATTTATGATTTTATAGTTTCAGAGGTTGGAAGACTGAAATCAGTCTCACTGGGCTGAAGTCAAGACATTGACAAGGCTGGATCCTTCTGGAGGCTCTAAGGAACAGTCTGTTCCCTCACCTTTTTCAGCTTCTGGAGGCTGCCTGCATTTATTGTCTTCTGACTCCGTCCTCACATGACTCAATCTTTTGCTTCCATCATTTTCTCTCTTATTTCCCTCTGATCCCCTTTATCTCCCTTGTAAGGACCCTTATGGTTATATTGGGTCCATGGAATAAGGCATCTCAAGATCCTTAAGTCAATCCCACCTGCAAAATCAAAACCCCTTTTGCCACAGAAGGTAAAGTGCGCAGGTTGCAGGGATTAGGATGTGAACACCTCGGGTGGCATGATTCAGCCTACCACAGTCCTTCAGGACCCAAATCTCTTTCTTCAGTCCTGACCCCTCACCTCAGTGTTCACGTCATCAACCACATCCATCAACCACACTCTGACATCACTTCCTATGAAAAGTCCCAGAGCAGTTCATTTTCTCTTTCCCTAAAATCTGTTCCACAATCCAAATGTTCTTTCTCTTCTGCTTTTCAAACAATTTTGAAATTTTAGTGTTATTCAAAAACTCAATATACTTTCTTTATCCCCTCTATGCTCTCTGCTAAGAACCAACACTTTGCCTTTGAAATGCCTCCCAATGTATCCTTTCATTCATCTCAGCTACTATCAAACTCTCCCCACTCCAGCTGAGTGTCTTGTTAAGAACTGCAAGACATTTCTAGTTAGATTTTTTTTAGACCTTTGAACCAGTGTCCTTTTTATGTAAGTTGGTAGTGTCCAGAATAGAATAAAATTTAGGTCAAAACATTTCTGCATGGAAATTGATATCTGTGACAAACTCGAAATGAAATGCGTTGGCATCTTTCCAGCTGTGTAATCGCTGACTCTACAGTTTTATTTTCCTTTCAAAATGCCTTTGCTTTCTCAAGCAGACACTACAACAGACACTGCCCTCAACTTCAGCGTTCACTGCACTGGCCTGCCACCATTGTCCACTGCGACTGGGCCCAGCTACTCTTTGAAACTTGCTCCCTGTTTCTATCCAGTGTGTCAACCATGAGAGGGTGGCAGGGGTGGTCTTCACATTTCCTCTCCTCTCATTCACTGATACAAACACTGGCGCTCATCTCCTTCCTCCTCAGCTTTTAGCAGGTAGTTTTATCTCCATTATTGAAAGAGCAACCTAGAATAATTTCTCCCAAACCAGCCTTACTCAGTGAATCTCAGATGCCACATGCTTGGAAACCAGTGATGCCCAGCCCCCAGAACCCCCAGAAACCAGCACTGGACATGAAATAATCAAAGCATGTGGTTTAGTCTTGGTTGAATGGCTTGTCTCTTCCCTAAGTTTTGAAATTCTTTGAGGACAAGGACATTGGCAACACATAGCAAATTCTATTACACACCTCATAAAGCTACACAGAAGCATTTATAAGAATTTACTCCAGTGTACATGAGGAAGCTGATCTCAGAATTTAACTCAATTCCTACCAGCCATAAGCAAACCACATCTTTGTAAGTAATGGATATCTACAAAGAGTAACTGAACTTCTTACACCTTTGAGCTTATAAAATTCACTAAGACACCCATTTTCCGGAGTTTGTTAACCTTATTTCATTATCAATCTCTTAGTCCTAGTCCTGTGAATAGCCTAAACCTTTAAAAATTAACTTTCCATCCCTCAGTTTAATCCAAAACCTTAGCTGCTGTGTAACAGGAATAGCATGCACTGCCAATACTGGATTTCTACCTATCTCACATGCAGAAACAAACCAATGCCTTCATTTAACCCTTTACCTGAGGATATA